CTTATATATACGTAACATTTATTAAAACAGTTTTTAAAAATATACTTACATAATAATACAATTGTAATAGCAAGATTAACAAATTGTATGAATCAAAACTTTTTAGATTAAACTGTAATATTTATAAAATTTATTATTAAATATAAAAAATTTTTAATTTTTTAATTAAAAATAGAAAGTATTGAATTTGAAATGACTTTAAATCTTGCAAAAAATACATTAGCTAGTTTTTAATAAAATTACTTTTACAAGTACGCAAATAAATAAATAATGATTAAAAAACATTCAACAATTTAGAAATTAATTCGATAAATAAATATCTCCTAATAATTAATGAAAATTAACGTAGACAATTTTTTTATAATAGAATATATATTTTTATTGATAACGTTTATAAATAAAAGTATAATTATATAATACAATATGTTAATATAAAATTACTACAAGTGTATTTTCAATATATATATAAATTTTTTTGCGACCTTTATTACATAACTCCTAGAATGACAAAGAAAGATAACATACCGAATTTACAAAAGGAAGACTTTTCTCGCTCCATTTTCGTTCTCAATACAAAAACTTCCCAAATTATACATATATATATTTTTTTTTCCGAGTAACGCGAGGACATATATCTTATAATTAGACAAATTAGGTCGATAAAATAATATATAGATACAAATATTTGTATAGTAATGCTAATTGTAATGATGACAAACATGAACGCTTATATCGCTCTCTGATAATTGGTCCTTTAATCTCGTATTTAAATCGATAGGTGATAACTCTCCTTGTGAGGTATTTTCTTTAGGTTTAGATTTCCTGTTTAATTTGAGGTAAGTTAATAGGTCTGAAGCGGCTGCCGGTAGATCTGGAGTGTGGCCTTCCGCAGGCTCAATTTAATTCTGTTAGACGCGGGTGTTAAAGCTGATTGTGAGTTGGTAGAGTTAGGAAAAATGCTAGTCTTCCAGAAGCTGCGCAATATGTATTGAGGGAACGAAACCGTCTCGATTGTTTTGATACGAGGTTTATTGGTAATCTGTTCGCGTGTTAACCAACGCAGGCACGCGGCTACGTGCTTTGCACGGGTCTTTACGCCGGCTCGATAGTTTGTTTATTTCGCCGTTCGTTTTTAGCTTTCCGGTTGCTCATCTGCAATGAAGTTAGAATACGTCTAGATCAAAGTATTTAATTGGTTTTATGTAGTAAAGGGAGATAAATGGATAGTTCTCGAGAGGTGAAGAAAGTTCGATGGTGGGAAATGAGGCAAAATCATCAAGGGCAGAACTGTACTGCTCGATGATTATTAAAGAATAGAGAAAGAAGGCGCAAAATCATCAAGAGCAGCACTATACTGCTCGATAATTAATAAAGAATAGATATAGCAGGCGCGAAATAATCAAGAGCAGAACGCAGTGCTCAATGATTATTAAAGCATTGACGAGACAAAAAAAGGATGCTCGACAATAGAGAAAGAAGGCGCAAAATCATCAAGGGCAGAAGACAAATTTTGCACTGCTCGATTATTATAAAGAACAGGGAGAGAAGACTGAAAATCATCAAGGGCAGAAGACAAATTTTGCACTGCTCGATGATTATAAAGAGTAGGAAAAAAGACTGAAAATCATCAAGGGCAGAAAACAAATTTTGCACTGCTCGATGATTATAAAGAATAGGGAGAGAGGCTGAAAATCATCAAAGGCAGAAGACAAATTTTACACTGCTCAATGATTATAAAGAATAGGGAGAGAGGCTGAAAATCATCAAAGGCAGAAGACAAATTTTACACTGCTTGATGATTATAAAGAGTAGGGAGAGAGGCTGAAAATTATCAAAGGCAGAAGACAAATTTTACACTGCTCGATGATTATAAAGAGTAGGGAGAGAGGCTGAAATCATCAAGGGCAGAAGACAAATTTTGCACTGCTTGATGATTATAAAGAATAGGGAGAAAGGCTGAAAATCATCAAGGGCAGAAGACAAATTTTGCACTGCTCGATGATTATAAAGAATAAGGAAAGAGGGCACAGGAGAATAATAGTAGGATGATAATTATTGATCTAGCGCGACTTCTGAACATTCAGGATTCAGATTCTCACGCAAATAATATATTAGAGAGATCTTTGTTAGTGTGAAAGGTACTTACCTTACGTTGGATGAACTTTTATATACCGTCGCTCTGCAGCACGTTTACCTGCCGTCACCCCCTTAAAAGACCTCAGTCGGGATGCGCGTAGTGAAATCAAAAGTACACAGATTCTAATGGTTTAAAGTTCTTTATTATAACTCTCTTTACTTTACAAACTATGCGCGATCAAAAATTAATAAAGAAAGTCAACGTCGTCGGCGGCGAACGAGTGACAAGGTTTCGCACAGAATTTAGAGTGACACAGTGAGATGCAATATCTAGTGTGCCGTAATATGCTGTGTAATTATGCCGCTCAGATGCTGGGACCGCAGGGTTTATATACCCATCGAAATTGGAAAAAGTCTTTGTACTTTGCGCTCTTTGGTGGGGGTTCCTTTATACCATAAACTGTATCTCGAGATCATCGGTGCAAGTGATATGTGTGGAAAAAAGGAGGAGGGCCAATGGAATGTTTAGGAAAATAAGAGTTCCTGATAGAGGCAAAATTTATGACATATGAGCTTCGGCGCGTAGGGTATCGAGGCGATGCGGTATGGAGGAAGGGTACATGACGATTCGACCACGATACGGATTCCAAGAAGCGTCGAACAGTAGCGAGGGTTTTCGGCCGACAAAGAGCTAAGAATTATGTCGCCTTAAAACTAACGGATATAATTTCAATCAACATGATTATTTTAAAGAGCGTATTTCAGAGAGTTCGCGCATAGATGTGCTTATTTTTTACAAACGTGGAATCATACAATTCATATAATTTATTTTATATTACTTAAAATTGAGGAATAAATTATAAGGTAGAAAATTGTCGCTAATGTATAAGAGGGAGTGCTGAGAATTTCTAAATTATACGATTACAATTCCACGATGTAGCGGCGAGAGTTCGGGTTATATATTTCGATTACATGATACAATATATGCCCTTTCTCTTGTATAGTTATATTTACGTAAACCTTACTGTAATTTATTTATTATAGATTAGATCTTAAAATCTTAAATTCTTGAAATGTCATTTTTGATGAGATTATTCAATAATCTAGAAGGTAAGGTTTCGTGAATATAATTGACAAGTTAACGCCCGATAAAATGGCGTTTCTCAGATTAGGCATAGCTAGAGATTTATGGAATCTTCATAATAATTTTATCAAGGTAGAAGCCCCTTTTTTAAAAGGTGATTGAAGCATCTTATCAATCATTTAAGTATTTGAAATATTATAATTATATTATATTATTATGTTATGATTCCACAAGTTCTATTGTTTCTTAATTTTGAACACATTAGTGTCGCATCTATATGCGGTTCAGTTAGTCGTATGGTTGGAAGTATGCGCTCAGGGGGTCGATTATGTATCTCAAAACCTAGTGAAAATGACAAAAGTGAGCATTCACTTGATTGGCTAATTTTCACTATAGTGAAAACACGAAATATTTCACGTGAGATTATTCGACAAGAATTATTGTGTCGAATAATGTCAAAATGTGTCGTATATCCTACTGCATTATATGTTATGTAGAGTAGAGCGCGATTAAAATACGTATTAAAAGAGAGGACATTACATTATACACCAGAATTTGCTGGTATGTAAATAATTATAGTGCATAATTGAGATAAGAAAAGGTATTTTTTAAATCTATTCTTTACAGCTCTAATTGTAAATGCATGTTGTGTTTTACATAACATTGCTTATAAATGGAGAATTCCATTAAATGAAATATATTTGGAGGAAGAAGGAGAAGTGCCGATACCATTTAATGATATAAATATAATGCAAGCAGAAGAAGTACGAATTAAGAAATATTGTGTGATGGTATTTTGAATAGGATATATATATATATATATATATATATATATTTATATATATATTTATCACATAAAATTAGTACATTTCATAATCTTATAATAAATTAATAATTAAGATTATCACAGTACATTTCTTAACTTTATAATAAAAGATTTTTAAACACTACTTTTTTATTAATGTATTGTTTTATATCGATCAATTCTCATAACACGCCGCAACAATTTTATTCAAGCATGTTCAAAAATGTATCCGCCCCCGACCGAAATCCGAATGTTTATTCATAAAATTTAACATAATTTCTTTTTGTTTCTCTGCAACATTCATTCTTATTCACACCGTTCAAACTGCAGAGGTTATAAAGATAAAGGTATCACTGAAACATATATGCATGCATATACGCTTTACGAAATGTTCACTATGGTTTGTGCTCCCGTGAATCTAGGGATATCGTATTTTCATCTTGCTCATAGCCAATCGCGTGTATTTCTTCACGTGAAATGAATGTGCAAAAAGTGAGAAAAATCGACACAAATAGACAATCGATCCCCAGATGAGGTCTAGTGACGCTGTCCGATTGGCTGAGCCACTTAGTTAGAACTAGGAAGACCCTAGATGTTAGTACGGTTAGTAAAATCGTCCCAATAATTATGAATAATGAATAATAATAGTAATATTGAGAAATACAATTGCATTTCTTAAGTAATTATTCAGAAAGAATTGTAGCGCACAAAAATACGGTTTCGAAAAAATGACGGGATGTTACACGGGATGTTACAATGGAACAGCTGTGATTGGCCAGTTTTACAATTATGGATGTTATTAAACCCGATTAAGGGTGCCGTGTAAACGTACTCATGGAATCGCACCCTTATTGTGGAGTGAAAATAGCGGCGTTTTGTGTTACTGATTGCGGTGCTTTGTATATCTAGTGACTTTAGTGTAAGCACTCCAGTATAGTATATAGTTCATTGCATGAATATAGGAATTCCTACATCCATGGTTTATTGTTAATACGCCGGTACGCAAGCGACGTTTACAGCGCTTAAGGTATAATTATTTGCTAAAGTGTGAGAAACGCTTTAAAAGTCTTGTGTGTATGTGTGCGTACACATGTGAGAATAATGTTTATATTTTAAAGGAGTACGCGTTGAATGTAATGTGCGACAAGAAAAAAGTGATAAATTAATAATGAATATGAGGAAAAAAGTGGCATAAAATTATTAATGGCATGATAATTACATAAAAGTATAGCAAAATAATATGAGCAAAGTTAGGTTAGGTTGCATACATATTTATACAGGTTAGTATAAATAATCTTAAATATATTTTACTTGTTTAACATATTGACATTAATTATATAATAATTAATAATTAAAAATTAAAATAAGTATATAGTTTTGTATATAAAATATATATTTTTGCATAAAGAAGATGCATAATAAATTATGTTTTTAAATACAAAACTGCTTATGGTAAAATTACTATTATTTTAAAATAATATTTACTGATTAAAAGACTGTACTAATAAAAAATTGCAGTTATTATAATATATGTAGTTAATATATTAGTTTTTCCGTAAAATCTCTTAGAATTACCTGTACTTCTATTGGCATCATTATATCCTACATTAAATGAATTATATACATTTGTATTATTTTAAACTTTTGTGAATATGTTTTAGATAAATCTACTTTTGTATCATAGAACATTTTATTCCGAATTGATATTTGAATGAATATAATATTATATTACAAGATATTATTTTGATTTGCAAAGGATGAATTAAATGTGCTGATAACGGTGTCTTATAAGACATTTATTTTCATAAAAATAAGATCATTTTTATAAAAATTAGTCATTGCCAGTGATTCTTACATGAAGCTCCCAGATTTCAGTGATGCAACAGCAATTAATGATCTGATGATGACATTGTTGGATCCCACAGTAAGTATTATTCTTTTTTTTCTCTTACAGAATATTTCAAGTTCAAGTTATTTTTAATTTTAACTTCTTTCTTCTCTTATAAGTTTAGATGATCATATTTTAATTGTTTATCAAGTATAATCCTTAATATATTGGCAGCATATATTTAAATAGTTATGTCATATTTACAAAGATCAGAAGAAACTTGAGAAAGCGTAATTAAAAGATGAATAGAAAAAGTTTGAAAAAGGAACATTCAATAAAAAATATATTTATTATATTAAATTGATATTAAGAATAACATTTTTCTTATACATATCATATATTGAGAGAATTACATATTAATATCTTAATATCTTTTAATATCTTAATCTATCAATTAAATTCTCTTTAATTTTTATATGTGAGAACAAAGATCCACTTTGTAAATAAAAATAAACTAACTCAATAATAATGAAACAATAAATAGTAGAAATTTGTTATACACATAAAAAATTAAAGAGAATTATGAATTTAGGTTATCGATTAAGACGTTAATATATTCTGTCAATATATTATACATATAAGAAAAATGTTCTTAATGCTTGTTAATTTAATATAATAAATACATTTATGAAATTAATTTTTTTAATTATGTTTTCTTAAGTATCTTCCACTCATTCAAATATGACATAACTATTTAAATATGTTCTGCCACTCAAAGATATGATTAAAATTTAGGCATTATTAGATTTAGAAGAGAGAAAAGAAGTTGAATCTTAGATGTAACTTAAGCAAAAGTATGTAATAAATAAATATAATAATATGAGAAAAGAAAGAACACTTATGGTAGAATTCAACGATGCCAAGGATCCACTGCTGTTACATTACTGAAAGTTGTGAGCTTCATATAAGTATCGCTACTAACTTTCATAAAAGTATGTCTTGTAAGACAATATTACCAACATATTTAGTCCATTATTTCACAATTCAAAATATAATATCCTGTAATACAAAAGCAGATTTATCTAAAACTTATATTCACACAAGTTTGAAATAATATAAATATAATTCATTTAATGTGAGATTTAACTATGATCAAAGATCACTGCTGCTACATCAATGAAAGCTGCAAGTTTTATTTAAGAATCACTTGTAGCAATTAATTTTCTTAAAGGTACAGATAATGTTTACAAGAGACTTTATAGTAAAGCTAGTAATATATTATTAATTACAATTTTTTGTAATTAATAAATTATTAGATTTTTTATGTTTTTGTATTTATAAAAAAATAATTATATTCTCTCTATATATACTATTCTGCAAATAGTATATATTTAAAATTATATTAAATTTTATCGTTAATTATTACTATCAGTCTCAATTAATATAATTATATTAATAAAATAAAACCTTTAACATTACTTATACTAATGTAACTTATATACAGGGTGAATTTTTTAACTTGAGACTGCAAAATATCTGGAAAACTAAGCATTGTATGAAAAAATGTTCCAAATAAACTTTCTATCCCGCAAAAATTAGCCCCTTTTCATCCCTCTGGGGGGTGGGACTGGGGGTAACTTTGAAATCTTAAATAGGAACCCCTACTTTTTATTGCAGATAAAAATGGTTTAGACAAAATTTACGTATTTTTGAACGTAGAATTCGAATCTGCAATAAAAAGTAAGGGTTTCCATTTAAGATTTCAAAGTGACCCCCAGTTCCATCCCCCAGGGGAGAGGGCTAATTTTTGCGAGATAGAATTGCACCTTCGAAACTATTGAAAGTTTATTTGGAACATTTTTTCGTACAATGCTTAGTTTTGCAGTCTCAAGTTAAAAAAACTCACCCTATATATATAACTTTGTCCAATATCATTATTCTGCTATCCTTTTATATAATTATTATGCCAGTTATAATTTTATATCATTTTTCTTTCTTTATGTTGCACTATTCCACGAGATTCTTATAATCACTTTATATCGCTTTTCTTCTTGTCACATTATACTTTGTGGGTATTCCTATTTAATACAAATATTATTTCACGTTTACAGAAAAAATAAATATAAATAAATTTTATCTAAAAGTGCAATGATATTTAAGAAAAACCTCGCAAAGGTAAAAAAAAGTATGCCAAGTACATAAATAGTATATTAGCTAACAAGTACGGGGGATCGTAAATCGGCCGAGAGTGCGGAAGTTTGGCGCACGAAGCGAAACCGAGTGTGACAATCCGCACGATCAGCCGATTTATGACCCGCACATGTTGGCACCGATATTTTGTGTGACCGGTGCGTGGAAAGGGAGCCCTTTCTAAAATCCCATCATGTGCGTAAAGGGCAACTTTTCGCGCGCCGGTTGCACAAAAATATCTTAATTTATACATAATGAAGTGTTTAAAAAAGATATTTATGCCTAAAAAACTGTCTAACTTTTATAAAAATCTTTTCTTATAAAATAATTGTAATTGTGATATAAGAAAATTTAAAAAGTAAAACATAATTTTTCTTTGAACATATTGTTGAAAAAAGTTAGATTTTATATATAATATAAATTTAAAGTGTAAGACAGGCAATAAGAGCCAAATCGCGGATGACAGTGCGTTATCCCAACGAAACTAAAATTTTTTCCGTTAGAATTAATTACCTGTGCACAAGGCACCAAATTTTACTTGGTCACGGCCAAGATTTAAAATTGGAATAATCTCTACAAGAGATTTAATTCCATACATCCCCTCTTCCCTCCTAAGGAAATAAATGCGAGAGAAAAATAGTTAGATTTTACTTTTTTAATTTTATATAGAACAATTATTTTATAAGGAAAAATTTTTATAAAAATTAGGCAGTTTTTTAGGCATAAATATATTTTTAAATATTCCATTGTGTACAAATTAAGATATTTTTTTATGTATTTGGCGTATTTTTTTTATCTTTGAGAAGTTTTTTAACAGGATAGAATTTTGTCGAATAGAGAAGGTAAAAAATGAAGTGAGAAACGCGAAAGAAGAAACCAATCACCATCTACAAATAAAATACAAATTGAAAAGAATCCTATACAAAAAGTAAATTATGCCCAAATTATTTATATTGGATATAATTTTCATAGTTTCAAAATAGTAATATTTTTTAGACTTTTCGACACTTATTATTGAAATAAAAAAGAAAATGAAATATAAGTTCAATCAGATTCGAATCAAAGATTCGATCCTGCATTAAGGAAAAACTAGATAGAATAACCACGTGAAATGATAATGTTCAAGTAATATTTTGTAATTTGATTGAATTCAATTTTGATTTAAAAAATTTGTTAAATTATACTATAACTACTAGAAGGCTAATTGAAAAAGAAACTAAGTAGATTTCAGAAAATATTGAATTATCAGAAAAAAAATTAAACAAGTAAACCAAAGACATTTCTGCTTTCATCTGATAATTGTTTTGATATGTATATCATTGTTTTTTTGTATGTATGGAATACGTAAATTTCTTTATATTTATATGGAATTCAATGATAATTTATTTTATTGTACGAAAAAGAATAATAATGGATTTGTTTTATATTTTATTTGCTGGATTAGTTTTATTTAACAAATATAAAATTATAAGTAATTTATATTTGTTGTAACATAAGACTATTATATCTTAGTTTATTTTACAAAATGTGCTTTTGAACATAATCGTCTTTACAAAATAAATAAAACTCATTTATATTAAATGATTTTTATATGTAATACATAAATATTATTTTTTAAAATTTCATAATTGCATATGCAATACTTAACAAATAATAAACAGTGAATTAAATCTCTCGAAAATATATGAAATTTTGTCTCATAATCTTATATAACATAATCAACATAATCAACATAATCTTATAGCCTCGGTTTTTAATAGATTTTATATTTAATAAAAATTGATGAACCATCGTGCGTAGGTTACACAAATGTTATGAAAATTTTATAATATATAATAAAGATCGCAATAATATAAATATGATTATTTTTTATTTTTAGATTAAAATTAGATTATGCATGTTTGGACAACGGACTATAATTACTCTGGAAGATGTTACAAGATATATGCTAGAAAGTGCAGTAATAAAATAAATCCGATCCAAACTGAGAATTCAATTCATCTTCGATGAAGATTCAAAAGTCATATTTTTTGCATAATATGGATAACAATCAATTAATTGAATTGTCGCCGTCTCGCATAAATACATTTTGCAAAATGCTTTCGTCGAAAAAATCAAGCGATAAACAGAAAGACGAAAACACGAAGGACGTAGGTCCCGGTCTTTCTACACAGACAAACACGAATTGTAGGAAAAAGAGAAGAGGCATCCAGAGGAAATACACTGCCAAGGTGGATGAATCTAATGCTGATCTAAAAGAAAGTGACAAGCAGCCCAGAATCGTTTGGGTTGGCTCGATCAATGATATGGAGTGGATTTGCAAGTTCTGCAATAAAGTGTTTTCCTCGCCGAATAACTATGTTGATCATGTGTGCAAAGTTGAGAAACGGTACATATGTCTTCTCTGTTTTGCTGAATTCACTAGGAACAGCAGTCTGAATCGTCATCTGAAGCAAACCCATAATGGCGAAAAGAAACATGTTTGCTACTTATGCGACAAAAGCTTTTCTGAGAGGATCTATCTGGAAAATCATTTGCGTAAACACATCGGTGAACGCCCATATTTGTGTGATATATGCAAGAAGTCATTCCATTCTAAACTAGGTTTGAAATATCACATCAAGACTCACATAGGCGATTTCAAGTATGAGTGCGATTTTTGTCCCAAGAGATTTCTAGATAAAACTAATATGCTGGCACACTTGACGACGCACACGGGCGAGAAGAATTATAAGTGCGACATATGTGGCAAGCGTTTCGGCACGATGCCAGCCTTAATCCATCACAAAGTTGTGCACTCGGAGGAAAAAATATATACGTGTCAATGCGGCAAGAGTTATAAACATAAATATTCTCTCAAACGGCACGAAGGCTTAGGAATGTGCGGATATTCTCAAAAATTAAATGAAGTCGAACCTGATTCGAATTACATTCCGGATAATTCGAATATACTCCTGATATCTAAAATTCATAATTATTCTATTAATAATTTTAAATAGTTGTTTAACCTAACTTATGACAAATATACATATTTTTATTATAAAATAATATTGTTGGACATGTACTGGCAATATACATTATTGAAAATTGACATTTTTTATAATAAAAATATATTTTCATTTAATCATAATATTAATTTATTTACATTAACACTGAGTTTTTTCTTTACTTTGTAGTTACATTGTATTTATAAAATAAATTACGCTAATCTAAAACATGCGATATTTCAGAGCGAAGTTACGTATTTAAATTTATTTACTTGTAGATTAATAAAATAATAATAATAGTTATTATATATATGAAACAAAAAATCCAATAAAATATTTAGAAATATATCTGCAAAAAATATAATATACGAACATATTAAATAACTAAAGATAATTCTCAAAGCTAAATTAACTTTCTTTATTTTGTTAATTTGCACTGTTATTTTCTTTCTCAGTGCCTTTCTCAATTGTCGCATCACAATGAATTCAGTTTTGAAGAATAAAAAATAATAAATCGTAGATTAATTTATATTGAAAGCACACGAGTCTGAAATATCTCTTACAATACTATCATCATTTCCAATTAAGTATTTGCAATTTATTTAAACGATATGTTAATGACAGAGTAATGTTTGCCTTCAAATTAAAAATAAATTAATATAACATTTCAATATATATTTAAATAAAATTGGAATTGACAAAATTCGGTATATATTTAAAAATTACAGTCGAAGAAATAATCTCTTATATTATGCGGATGATAAATCAAGAATTGTTTATGTTTCAAATATTGCATCATCACGGTTTGTACATACATTTCAGGTAAAGGTGCCTTTTCACGAGCCGCTGAAACCGATTGTTTGAGCGACAAAATGATCACGTAACAACTTTTGTCGCTGAATTAAACAGCGATCATTTTTGTACATGAAAAGGATAGGCAGCGCGACAGAATTGAAAGTTAAGCGTTTAAGCAGTAAATGCTTTGTAGTTGAACTGATTCAAACTACAAAATTGTTGATGCTGGATTGCGAGCGACAAATCTGTCACTTCAATCACTTGTTTTAGCGGCACGTGCAATTGTACCTTAAGGGGATCCTAAATGATGTTTTTACCGACCGAATGCGAGAATATTTATTTTTTTCATATAACTTTTTATTGACTATACTGATCAATAAATCCTTTTCCACGATTAAAGTACTTATAAAAACGGACCGCGCTAGCTATGTTTGCATATATAAATCATATAAAAATCAAAAATTACAGTTTTGTTATCGGCTGCTTTGTGTCAGTTCGTAATAATACTTATTTAATAAAAAAAGTTTTGCAGTTTGTCTGTGCATGAAATATAGTATGCGCGGTAAGGATTATATGAAGAAATATTAGTAAGCAATTAAAAGTGAGATTGCAAGTCTAATAAAAAAGTTATATATAAAAAAACATTTCACGCATATGTGTGTGTGCAAATCGAGGCTGCGGAATAAAACAGAGCAGTAGATTAGTTGCGTGATATCGTGATAGATGGAGCTGCAACGTGTTTCTCTCTCTCTCTCTCTCTCGCTCTCTCTCTTTCTGTTTTTTATAAGGTCTGTTCGTTTTGGCTACACTGGCCACATTAGTTCAGAGGTTGTCTTTTTTGTTCGACATTGGAAGGAAAAAGATAACCTCTGAATTAGTGTAGCCAATGTATGCCATTATATATTTTATGTTTGATAATATAAATAATACATCAATTTTTTTCTATAAAAAACTATATATAAAACAGAAAAAATTTTGTGTTATTTATATTATCAAACACATGAAATATATAATGACATACAATTTTATTTTAATTATATTTGTATAATACAATAATATTCACATGATTTTTATAGATAATAAGTATATGCATTTATAATTTATAAAAACTAAATCTTATTTTTCATACATCGAAGTAATTCGAGTAATGATTTTACTGAAATATATATTTGATAGACATTGTGATTCTAACGAATTTTATTTGTTCGCATATACCTGTAAATTGTTATAAAAATTACTTTTACTGTAAATGTAAGATAAATTGTATGCAATCTATAAAACAAAAAGAGAGAGAGAGAGAGAGAGAGAGAGAGAGAGAGAGAGAGAGAGAGAGCGAGCTTTTTTTCTTTCCCGAAAATAGAGACATTCAATGCAAACGGTGAATTGTATATCTCTTTACGACACGTACAGCCGAGGAAAAATTTTTTATATATAATTATATAAAATAATTGTATAATTATACATATAATTTTGCGATTATATATGTATAAAATTATACAATTATTTTAATATAATTATATATAAAAAATTTTTTCCCGGGTTGTATGTGTCGTAAAGAAATATATGTATAATTGATCGTTTGCATTGAATGTCACTATTTTTTGAAAAGTAAAAAAAGAGAGCTCTCTCTCTCTCTCTCTCTCTCTCTCTCTTTCTTGATCCTTTATGCTTATTGTTAGTATTCTATCAATTAGTAATCAATGCAATCAATCATATCGTTTTACGGCAACAGCCAGTTACTCGTTCACTCACTCATTCATTCTTTTAAAATATGTCCATTTTTATACATAATTATGTAAATTTATATATAAAAAATAAGGGTGCATATATAATCATGTCAAATTTGTATATAAAACATATATTTATATATATAAAGAAATACTTATTTATTACACTTGTATATATATATATATATATATATATATATATATATATATATAAATTTATATAATTATATATAACAAGCACTTTTACTTAATTATGTATAGACATATTTCATAATATAATTCTGCGATTATACGTATACTTTTATATATTTCTATATAATGTTATATTATTATATACACAAATTTTTGTCCCGGGGTATTTTAAACTTTTATTTTCTTTTTCTTTCCCCATTCTTGTCTGTCTTTACATGCATGTTATTATGTTGTATGTGTATCATGTATAATTTGGATTTGTATGTATGTTGAGAAGATTGGAATAGATAAAATTTTATTACTTCATGTTTTTATATTATAAATGCAGCTTTTTGTAAATATCCGAAATAAATAATTTTTCTACAAATATTTTAAATTTATCAAAATATTTTTTACTGCACAATTAGACTAATATATTTTGCATTATTCTATCTTTATTAATTTATTTCATAATAAAATGGATTTTATTGAACAAATAATAAATAGTAAATAGAGAAAATATAAAATATCGAAAAGAATATATTCATATAAACATATATTTGTGAAATCGAAATTTTGTTAAAATTGACTTTCATAGAAATTGTATTTTATAAATTTAATTAAAAAAGCTGCATTTATCATAGTAATAAAATAATAAACTAATTAAAGTCGAATAATAATTTATTTAAAAATTATTAGTTAAATTACAATTTCATTATTTTCAAGTAATCAGATTAATACAATAAATCAAATTTACAAAAAGACAATTAACATTGATCAATGTACAAATCACGAAAAAAATAATTAGCAAAACTTAGTCACTAAAATAATATATTCCAATCTTCTCAACACACACACACACACACACACACACACACACACACGCACACAACTTCTTATAACAAATGTTATATAAATTATACATATACAGGATGTAACAACGATCATATATCAGGAGTTTTTAGAAGAAAATACGTATTTTATTGAAAAATGTTTTATTACCAAAGTTATAAGGGTTACTTATCATTACATAGTAGTATTAGTATTATGTTGAATAGCATTATCAAAGTCACATAAAGATTATTTGGAAATAATGGAAACCCTCATTTTTTATTGCATGTACATACATGTAGCTTACTTTGAGAGCTTTTCTAAATAAATTTTTCATTCTGTGCATGCAATAAAAAATGAGGGTTTCCATTATTTCCAAATAATCTTTATGTGACTTTGATAATGCTATTCAACATAATACTAATACTACTATGTAATGATAAGTAACCCTTATAACTTTGGTAATAAAACATTTTTCAATAAAATACGTATTTTCTTCTAAAAACTCCTGATATATGATCGTTGTTACATCCTGTATATGTATAATTTATATAACATTTGTTATAAGAAGTTGTGTGCGTGTGTGTGTGTGTGTGTGTGTGTGTGTGTGTGTTGAGAAGATTGGAATATATTATTTTATTACTTTATGTTTCTATCTGATAAATGCAGCTTTTTTTAATTAAATTTATAAAATACAATTTCTATGAAAGTCAATTTTAACAAAATTTCGATTTCACAAATATATGTTTATATGAATATATTCTTTTCGATATTTTATATTTTCTCTATTTACTATTTATTATTTGTTCAATAAAATCCATTTTATTATGAAATAAATTAATAAAGATAGAATAATGCAAAATATATTAGTCTAATTGTGCAGTAAAAAATATTTTGATAAATTTAAAATATTTGTAGAAAAATTATTTATTTCGGATATTTACAAAAAGCTGCATTTATAATATAAAAACATGAAGTAATAAAATTTTATCTATTCCAATCTTCTCAACATACATACAAATCCAAATTATACATGATACACATACAACATAATAACATGCATGTAAAGACAGACAAGAATGGGGAAAGAAAAAGAAAATAAAAGTTTAAAATACCCCGGGACAAAAATTTGTGTATATAATAATATAACATTATATAGAAATATATAAAAGTATACGTATAATCGCAGAATTATATTATGAAATATGTCTATACATAATTAAGTAAAAGTGCTTGTTATATATAATTATATAAATTATATATATATATATATATATATATATATATATATACAAGTGTAATAAATAAGTATTTCTTTATATATATAAATATATATGTTTTATATACAAATTTGACATGATTATATATGCACCCTTATTTTTTATATATAAATTTACATAATTATGTATAAAAATGGACATATTTTAAAAGAATGAATGAGTGAGTGAACGAGTAACTGGCTGTTGCCGTAAAACGATATGATTGATTGCATTGATTACTAATTG